CCACTGTCACTCACAAAGTTGCAATACATATCTAATTGATCTTCCTAATTCTATTTTGCTTGCTTACAATGTTTGGTAATTTGTTTGTTTGCTTGTTTATTAGTTTTGAGGCAGGTTCTCACATAGTCCAAATTGCCCTTGAACTTGCTATGTCACTGAAGATGGCACTGAAAACCTGATCCTCCTCCTTCTACCTGCCAAATGCTGGGGCTGCTGATAGATGTGTTCTTCCTTGCCAAATTTATGATCTATTTTAAATTCAATGGCCAAAGCAGTTCATCATGGTATTCATCTACTCAAAATTCCACAGTATCTGTACCTCATTTAGAGAAAAAGCTAATCTTTACTAATCTTACTCCTCCTTCAGCACTTGGACCTCATCTACTTTCTCCAATAGAAAACAAACAATCCCTTTTCACTTGTTCTTTTGGTGTAGATCTTTCCTCATGACATAGTCCATCACCTCTTTTAATCTATGCGTATGTCATTTCTAAGAGAAATTCTTGGAGACCACTAACTTTTAAATTGCAGCATCTTTCTCCAGTAGTCCATATAATCTATTGCTTTCTTTTTCTTCATGGAAGTTATTGCTGTTTGTCATACCACAAAATTTAATTGTCTAATAACATCCCCATTAGAACACAAGCTTAAGGGCCAGTGAGATGGTTCAGTAGCTGACAAACCTGACAATCTAAGTTTAATCCCCAGGATTCACGTGGCAGAAGAAGATCAACTGCTACACGTTATCTTCTGAATTCCACATCACAACACACACACACATACACACACAAATAAATAAACATTAAAAATAGAACCCAAGCTTAATAAGGCCAGATGCCTTATTCATACACAGTTCAGCACCCATTAAATAATAAATATTTGTTCTTCTCTTCTCCACTATGGTGAGTGGAAATTTTCACTGCTTTCACCAGATCCTGGAACCAGTAGGAAAAGATGAAAGGTTCAGAATGTAAATCTACAGAAGAAGCAAGGGAACAATAACCCAGACATCTGTTTCTGGTAGGAAACTGGCTTATGTGTTATATAACACTGTTTTAGAGACAATGTGGGCTTCTATGCTTTGAGGCAACCCAGGAGGAGAGCATGCTGGTCACTCTCAGAAGAACCCTAGGATTCTAGCTTTCCTTGGCTCTTAAAAACCTTGAGTTTGGGGAGGGCCACTTGAGTTCTTCTGCTCTAAACAGAATCCTTTGGTGCCTAAGATGGAAAGGAGAGGATGCACCCGAAAGAATTTGTTTGGGGCCTTGTATCGTCATGTGCTTCCTAATCCATAATGTGAGTTGTTTGTTCTATCATATTGCTTTACTCTGAAAAGGGATAAAGTTGTGAGTATGTCCTCTGCATCCAAGGTTCACATTCAATGACTTATTGTGAACAGGTTCACACCAACCTGAATACAGCCAATAGGCAGCTTTGTACTGTCTGAATCAGCAACTCATAGACTAGTGTTAAGTCCTGATGCTGGCACAGCTGAAGCTGGAATTCCCAGAGTCGAGGTGGTAGAACCCACCCGTCTAGCCAGATGTCTTTGGGAATTTGTATTGAAGAGGCTACCCATGTGCCCCAAACAACACCTAGCATGGTGAACAGAACCCAAAGCCTATATGCCATGTGGTCTACCCTAGTTGCCTCAGCTTTAGCAGCATGCTCATGTCCAAAAGTTATCGCATTAAGGAAGTTCCTGAACTTCCTTCGTTGGTTGAAGATAAGGTTGAAAGTTACAAGAAGACTACGAAAGCTGTTTTGTTTAAGAAACTTCTTTTTTTTTCAAGACAGAATTTCTCTGGAGCTTTGGAGGCTGTCCTGGAACTAGCTCTTGTAGACCAGGCTGGTCTTGAACTCACAGAGATCAGCCTGCCTCTGCATCCCGAGTGCTGGGATTAAAGGCGTGCCCCACCAACATCCGGCTATGTAAGAAACTTAAAACCTAGAACACCAAAAAGACTGACCCCACACCCAAGAGTAATTGGTCAACATAAACTGGGCTCATTTTTGGTTTTGTTTTGTTTTGTTTTTTAAAGAAGGAGGGATGGAGAGATGGTCAGTAGTTAAGAGCATATACCAGCTTCCAGAGGACCAGAGTCGGGTTTCTAGAACCCACATCCAGTGGTTTACAACCACCTCCAGAAGGATCTAGTCAGCTCTGGCCTCTGCAGGCACCTGCACTCACATGAATACATATGAACACACACACACACACACACACACACACACTTAAAAATAATAAAAATAGGCTGAGCGGTAGTGGTGCATGCCTTTAATCCCAGAACTTGTGAGGCAGAAGCTGGCAGATCTCTACGAGTTCGAGCCAGCCTGGTCTTCAAAGAGAATTCCAGGACAGTCTCCAAACCTACAGAGAAACCCTGTCTTGAAAAACCAATAATAATAATAATAATAATAATAATAATAGTAATAGTAATAATAAATTCTACAAGAGAGGGAATACAAAGTGGGTGAGTAGGGAGGGGGTGGGTGGATCTGGGAGGAATTGAGGGAAGGGATGAATATGATCAAAAGGCACTTGATGACCGGGCATTGGTGGTGCACACCTTTAATCCCAGCACTTGGGAAGCAGAGGCAGGCAGATCTCTGCAAGTTCGAGGTCAGCCTGGTCTATAGAGTGAGTTCCAGGACAGCCTCCAAACCAACAGAGAAACCCTGTCTGGAAAAGCCAAAAAAGGCACTGTATGAAATTCTCAAAGAATTAATAAAATACTTTTAAAAGTTTATGCTTGCCAGGTGGTGGTGGTGCACACCTTTAATCCCAGCACACGGGAGGCACAGGCAGGTGGATCTCTGTGAGTTCGAGGCCAGCCTGGTCTTCAGAACAAGTTCCAGGACAGCCTCCAAGACAATACAGAGAAACCCTGTCTCAAAAAAAAAAAAAAAAGCTTTGTGCTTTTTTACAAATGAGAGCTGGCAGGAGCAAAATGAGAAAGTGTCATTGTATTCAGTTCAGGGAACCCTGAGTCATCTACAATGAAGACAATGGTGTCATCAAGACCTTCAGAAACATCCCTGGACCTGCTCTTCTTAACATAAGGAAACTGGGGGATATGTCTGTATTTGGACTAACAGTATCTTCTGAAAATTAGATGACTTGTGTGCCACTAGGTTTAAAACTGTTTCCCTCAAGAGTAACTATAGCTTCACATGTACAAGATGATCAATACAGATGTCAGCAGCATCTTGAAAAGCCCAGAAATCCAAAGAGCCCTGCAAGTCACACACAGAAAGATTCATCAGACTCCTGAGCAAGAATCTATGAAGAACCTGAGTATCATGTTGAAGCTAGACCCACACACAAGGACCCTGCCACAGAACACAGTCTTCACCAAGCCAGAAAAGATGAAGACTGGGTGAAGAAAGTAGGGGCAGCAAAAAGCCAAATCACATAGATGCTGCAGAGAAGAGGCTGAGAAGAAGAGGATGCAAGAGGAATGCAAAGAATGTGTTCCAAAGAAGGAGCAGTCCAGAGAGGAGTGCAGAGAAGGAACACAGAGACAGTGGTACATAGCGGGGTAAGAGGAAGGGTGCATGGAAGGGTCTGCAGAGAAAGTGCAGAGAACCCAGTTTAGAGTAGGGGCCACAGGCCAAGAAAGTCAGCAAGGGGAGAAGATTGTTGTTAGTAAGAACATGAAGAAGCCTTTGCAGGAAAAGCTGCAATTTCCAAGAAACCAGTAATTGAAAGGAAACCAACCAGCAAAAAAAGAAGTCTACCATGGGGAGGGGGGGTGTGAGGAACCAGTCACACAAACTATTAAAATCTGTTTTATGTCATTTGGGTCAAATAATTGGGGACAGCTTATTTGAATAAAAACCTGGTCAAGTATGCTATGAAAAAATGTGCCCGATGAATAAATGAGTACGACAGTCAAGCTGGTCCCAAGGTTCATCTTAGTGAGCCCTGCCTTGAAATGGGGCTTCTATCCAGAAGTGGATGAAAGGATCTGAAGATATAGGTGATAGGATGCTGACCTAGCTCATACTTTTGGAAGGAAATTGCAAGTCTGCTGCAGCTGCCATGGATTTGAGACTGCAAGAACTCTTTTCCTTTAGGGCACTGACTAAAGCAGGAAGAGATTCTTAAACTAGTACATTAATACGACTTTCGGACAATGCACTATCCACTTGCTTTTTCTTCCCTCCACCCCTTCCCTTTTTCATAGTCTATATGCTTTGTTGTTGTTTAATGTGTGCATATTTGTTAAGCATCTGATTAATCCAGTCTTCCATTCAACTGGAATATACCTTTAGGAAGCAGGAGTAGAAATGTTTGTTAGTGCTGTATCCCCAGTGCCTATAACACTTCCTGACACACTATGGGTACTGAATACACACTTGTGAAACAAATATCTGTCCATGGAAACAAAGCCCCCTCCTTGAGGAGTGTGTGGAAGAAGGGAAAGTCCTTTACAGTAGCATGATGGGCCAGGGCCAAGTGGAAAACCTGTACCAGGGGAATATGGACAGAGGGGGAGACCAGGAGAGCAGGCTGGGCTCTGGAAGACCAGCGAAAGGCGGGCCTCACTGTAAGGAGAGCAAGACTTTGTCTGCGTGTCTCAGTCTCATTTTGAAGGAGCTGGTCAGAAATCCCTTGAGGAACAGCTGCCTCCAAAAGTGAAAACTGGTGCAAAGGAAGCAGAGGAATCCCGGAAGCGGCACCGAAAGGCCTGGAGCCAGAGGAGAAGGTGCCTGGAGAGCACAAGCTCCTGAGGAAGTGAAATGACCCTTCATTTGAATGCAAATGCTATGTAAAAGCCTGAAGCCCCTTGACGTCAGCCCAGCCTTTGGTGGCCCTCCTATGGCCCACTACCAGTCAACTGGAAGGCTGGGGTAGGAAAGGAAGGATGGAGTAGTCCCAGACGCACTGAGGAGCCAGCAGCGCAGCTAGTGATTCTCTCTCAAAGTCGGGTTGGCGCTAAATTTACAGGGAACTCAGGATGGCTTAGGGAACAACTTATGTTATCCAAGTCATCATGTATGGAAGCTGTCTTTTGGAAAAAGAAGCGGGCATGTACCCAGGTACTCTCAGGAGCCCTGGAGGAGGCAGCACAGCCGGGGTGGGCACTTCTGGGGGCAGTGGTAGTCCGCTGCCTACCTCCAACTTCTCTACGGCCCCAGCTTACTCACACTACATGGGGTACCCTCATATGCCTAACATGGATCCTCACGGGCCTTCGCTGGGAGCCTGGAGCTCACCTTACAGTCCGCCCCGGGATGACTGGAGTACATACCCTGGGCCGTCCAGTACAATGGGCACGGTGCCCATGAGCGACATGACCTCGAGCTCTCCGGCTTTCGGCTCGCCAGACTACAGCAATCTGGGCCCCACTAGCGGCACAAGCAACGGCGGTAGCCTGCCAGCCCCCGCCAGTGAGTCACTGATCTCCATCGACTCGGGCACCTCTGGTGCCAGTTCTCCCAGCAGGAGCCGTCACAGCCCCTACGCGTGGATGCGCAAGAGTGTACAGGTTACCGGTGAGTAATCCAGCCCCCGCACTGTTCCTTTCCTCCCTTCTTTACTCTTGATCCGCCTGCCCTCTTACTCTTCACCACCCGCGCCTCCCCAGGAGAGTTCAGCTAAGCAGCCCACAGCGTAGGTAGCTGGCAGAATAAGTACTTCCCTCCTTTGCGCCTAGGTTCAAAGCTGGCTAAAAGTAGCACTTGGGACTAAACCTTTCCTGGGGTTGTCGGGGTTTTTGGGTTTGGTATGGTTTGCTTTGCTTTTGCCCTTTCTCAATCGGTCAAGAGAGTGAGCGCATGGGCAGTGTTTCTGATGAACACAGGGTTGGATTGGAATCCAACCCTGACGTTGCCCAGATGGGAAAACAGATGCTTATGTCATGAGGGGCCTGAGAGGAGCTAAGATTATCACGATGCTTGTCTGCCCTATCTCCAAATCTTTCCCCACCCTGGTGTGCAGACGCGCCTGGTGCTGCTCAACTTAGTAGGTGCTTAGCTGGCAACCGAGCGCCCAGTCTAAGGTTTCCACAGCAAAGCGGCCTCGTTACAGAACTCTCAAGGCAGCTTCGCTTCGCCCAATTAGAAGTGTCTGAAACCTATCACTTTCCAATGCCCCTTCCCATCGTAGAAAGCATCGAGGTGGGCGAGGTTACAGCATTGAGCTGTCATTTAATATGACAGAGCGCTCACACCTGCCAAGCATACAACCGATATGAGCATTATCTCCCCAATAAGTGCCGAAAGCCCTCCTCGCTATCCCAGCAGGTGTCCACGAACTAAGGAGGTAGAATGCAAGTCTGCTACAGCGACAACGCACAAGATAAAGATCCAAATTTAAGACCTAATGTCGCTGTCCGGCTAGCCCTTGGTGGGCAACCACTGGGAGCTGGTGGGGAGGGACGCGCAAAGAGGACGTGAACTTGAGGTCCTCCACTTTAATCTTGGACTGGGATGGGGTAATGCGCTCCTTTTCAGCTGTGGTTGTTATCTTATCACTTTCTCGTTATTCCAATTCTTGCTCCCTGTCACTGGAGAGAATTAGTGACGTTTGACTATCACATTCATCCCTCTGGGGAGGCAATGATACTTCAATAGTATTTGTCCACAACGGTTATGTTGTTAACAATCCTACGTTTTCTTTTCTCTCTCCTCCAAAAAGCAAAGGTGAGAGAATAGGAAGATACCATGTCCTACCTCTAGAACAATTTTCAGCCAGAAGGAGGAAGCTCCAGTTTCATTACTAGGGTTAAAAGTAACACTTACAAAGGTGCTTAAAAGCCTGTGTGGTGGTAGACAGCATTTAAAAGGAAATAAGCTGAATCATGCAGCTTTAAAAATGAGGTTAGGGTAGGAATCCAACCCCAGAGCTGTTGTTACATCTAATCTTAGGGGTAGAATTAACATCCATTCACCAAAACCTAATAATAAGCAAAATACACATTTTTAAAGGATGCAAAGGTAGCCACTGCTTAGGGTTATACTTTGAAACAGGTCAGGGGAAGAATGTCACTCTCTTGTTTTTAATAGAAAACAATGAGGAAAAAGGGACATGATAAGAAGATTACATTGTGATAAATTTTCTGTTGGTGAGGGGAAAACACAACATTTTTCTGTGTCTTTAAGTCTTCCGTTTGATATGTGTCTCAGAGCCTTCTTTGGATAATTTTGATGCCGAGAGAAGTTGAGAAGGAGCCTCCTTAGTCTGTGTCCCTTCATTTGTTAACCATGTAAACCTGACTTAACTGTGCCACCTTCTCAAAGATCTCTTCGTTGTTTAAGAGAAGGTTAAAACTGAAAATAATACTGGAACTCCTTGGCTCTTGGTGACTCGTCCTATAGACTTCATTTCAGCATGTGTTTCATTTGAAGTCCTTACAAGTAAAGGCCATCCTTTTGCGATATTCTTGTAGCCCAGTTTGTTTTATCGGCAATTTAAGAAGATGATGAATATACATAAAAGCATCTCAAAGCACACACATCAGTAATGCTTGGCATAAATTCTGGAGATTTCAGACTCACCGAATCTCTTTCATGATATTAGGCCATAAACTCCACAAAAATAAATGTCATCACCCCATTGGAAACTCCAGACTAAAATGTACTCCTCTATATGCTTAGCAAACAGAGCAAGTGTCAAATGTTCATAAAATGAATGGATGAATGAATGAAGAGTTAGATCATCCTAAGCTTTCTGCTCACCCTGGAGCATTGCACAACAACGTGTGGTTTATGGCTGAGAGGGAAAAAAAATCTGTGGACAACAAACTGGAAGTACTCCTCCCTGGACTAAGGCAATCCAATGATAGTTTTTTACATTATTGAATATAATTGAAACAGACTTTAGTTAAAGTGTGAAGGACACTCATTACAGCTGTGGTTTCTAATGAAAGTGAAAAGATTGACATGTAGAATAAATTACTGCCTTCCAGATGATCATAGTTTTCTATTCCAAACACATGTCTTTCCAGAGCTTATATGAAATGCATCTGTGAATGTTACAATTTGCATACCATCTCATATTTTAAACAATGTCGGTGCATGAGAACAAGTCTTTTTTTTTTTCAGTTTTCTTGAGTATAGAACTGTGGTCCTGTATGAGCATTAGGTCAGGCATTATCCTAAGCAAAGGTGGAAAGATGCTTCACTGTTTATAAAAGAGGGGGAAGTAATTATGATTGATTCTGATTAAGCCACTCAACACTAAGGAAATACTTTAAAAGTGCTATTCAATTGAGACACTGCACAAATTGAATTGCTTAATAACCCTTGAGGCTTGTCATTGTCTTCCTTGATTTTTCATATTTTGTTGGACAATTTCTTAAATGAATTTGGATGTGGTTTTTATTTGAAAGCAGTAAAGGGTTGCCACTAGGTGAAAAGTCATCATGGTGGTACTGCCTATGGAAGAAAACTGGCTTTCTCCATCTTTGTCTCCACTGCCATCACCACCATGATCCCAAAGGCTTTGTGGGGGCTTTTCTGCTTAGCATCATTTTGGTCATGAGTCTGCACTGAACACTGTTTCAAACATACTTATGGTGAGAGAAAGTCATCCTATGCAGTAACATTGCCTTCTGAACTGTAAGGGCACTGTCTCCTGGGTGTTGGGAAGGACCACTGTGAACTATGGAAGTGTTTGTTCAAGTCTTTGTGGAAGAAGGAACGAAATTCTTACTTCAGAGAAATGCAAATAGCTCTTTAATAAATCTTAGACTTTTTTTCTATTCCTAAATTAACTCACAATATTAGCAAAGAAGGAAATTCCCTGGTCTCAAAATGTCATTGTCTCTAGAAAATAGAGGAACTTAGGCAATAAAAACAAATACTATTTGTGCTTTTTTAGTGTTTGGCTTTAGTTATGGGAGTATGGACATATTCTACCAGAAAGTGTCCAAATCCTTTCACTCATTTCAGGGGAAGAGGCAATGGGGGGAAGAGGTGTGGTTCTGAGAAGGCAGCTCAAGACGAGATCCAGGAAATTTCCATTTATTTTTCTTTGTAAACTGTGCAGGTAGTATACTCCCCTGTCTTCCTAGGGTTTCAGCTCTTATCTATGAGATTGGGGCTACAGACCCTTTTTAACACTTGTTTAGCTTTGATATGCATCCAGGCTCTTCTCATTGCTCCTTTCTTTGGGGGTTATATTGCCGGAAAGGGTGAGCATTTTCATGGCAAATAAAGAGGCCTGGTCTTGACTTTATTGTCCTCAGAAGAAACTGCAAGAGCGGAATTTATGACCAGTGGGGGTGGGGAAGGACCACAGCCTTTCCAGAGCTCTTGAAGTCTGGTTATATTTACTGATTAATTGACTTAACTAAAGACACAGACACATACAAGTTGAATTTTAACCCCTCTCTTTCAAGTTAAAATTTAAGCCCAGTCCCTTTTTGATCAGGAAGGGTTTTAGGAAATGCCTCCTCAAAATTATATTTTGATCCTAAAATGTGAGGTCCTGAAAACAAATTAAACCTCAGGTTTTCGTTTTCATCCTTCATTATACATCCTGTCTTTGAGATACTCAAAAAGCCAGATCCCTGGTTTCTTATGTTTCTGTATGGATTCAGAAATCTAGCTCAAAGTTTGGGCCTGTGAGGAAAGTTAATTGGCTAGGACCCATCGTTTCAAGGGAGGATTTCATTTCATTGAGTAGCCCATAAGTTATCCAGCCATTGAGTTGAATCCTAAAATAGATGTTTCTGCATCCATGCCCCCCCCCCCCTTCCTGGAGATGAAAGGTTGTCTGACGTTTGTTTAGGGCTTGTAAATTCCAAGCCAATTGGTTGATGTTCCTGAATGTAAAGAGGGTTCAGGATGGGATCCATGCTATGTAGCTCCTTTGTTAGGCCTGTGCTGCATCTTAACACCTCAATGGAGTTTAGGGACCCACTTTAAAGAAGTCTTTGTCCTACAGATCGCCCCCCAAAATCTCACATCAAAAACAACCAGAAAAGATCAGAAGAAGTTTCTAAAAGCCAGAGAAAGAGAGCAAGATCCTAGAGGGGGTTAGAGAAACTGAAAAGAAAGGGAAACTTCCTAATCACCTTTGGAAAATTTGAAAGGAGGAATAAAACTCCATTTGAAGGAGAGCATGAGAAATTAGCTCAATGTTGTAGCACAAGCCAAATGTTTGGATATCTTTTCAAAGCACGTGGAATACTCACTTGAGTCCGCTTAAGTCAACACTCCCTCCTTTCCCCATTCACTATCCACTTGGAAATAAAAAAAACCGCCTTAAGACTCCCACAAGAAAACTATTACTTTTTCTAATAAATAATAGGAGTTATTTTGAAGCGTAATTTGCCAAGTAGCAATAAACGTTTTCTTTTCAAACTATACAATTTTTTCTAGGTAGTACATATAACTATGTCAAGATTCCAGAATAGTTTGCCACACTTGGGATTGCACTTTCCAACAGGCTTAAACTGGGAATAAATCTAGCATATTGAACTAGGAGTTAAAGGTGCATGCTTGGGTCCTAAACTCACCAGAACAAATTCACTTTCCTATACTGAACTTTGGGTTCCTCATTTATACAAGGGGATAAGACATTTTCTGCATAATTCAACAGAGTAGGTAAGATGCTTAATGGGAAACAGGCATGAAAGAATTGCAGAGAATATAATTCAGGGTGGATGTTGTCATTGCTGTTCATTCAGTTGTTATATGTGGATGGGAATGGAATGAAATTCATGGGTTGGGCGTTTATTTTAAATGTTTTGATATAACAGTAGGTCAATGGTAAAGTAGCTGTAATTTGATCATTTAAGGAGAAACATTAAAAAGATGTTTGTTTCATAAATATAGTAGAATAATGGATGTTTTTATACACATCCAGCTAGACATGGATATCATGGGCACAGATGATAATGCATTTGATGGAGAAATAGACATGACATATTTGGTTTAAAAATACATTTAATTTATAATTTAAAGTTATAAATGAGCCGGGCGTTGGTGGCGCACGCCTTTAATCCCAGCACTCGGGAGGCAGAGGCAGGCGGATCTCTGTGAGTTCGAGGCCAGCCTGGTCTACAAAGTGAGTTCCAGGACAGCCTCCAAAGCCACAGAGAAACCCTGTCTCGAAAAAAACCAAAAAAATAAATAAATAAATAAAGTTATAAATGAAAGTAAGAAGAGTAACTGGTTCTTTCAACCCAAAGCAGAATAAGATGAAATGTCGTACTTTCTCCCCCAACAGGGAAAACCAGAACAAAAGAAAAGTACCGTGTGGTTTACACCGATCACCAAAGGCTGGAGCTAGAAAAGGAATTTCACTGCAATAGATACATCACCATCCGGAGGAAGTCAGAACTGGCAGTTAACCTGGGCCTTTCTGAGAGACAGGTATTACCAAACATGTTTCATGTAGTCATTTCAATTGTCTGGGCTTTGGAGGGAGTAGCAAAACAGAGGACAGATGCTTTCTTCAAGCACCCCTAAACCCACACTCATCCTATGTTGTTCCACTGGTCTTTGGACTTATTAACAATTTAATGGGTGGGCCTGGGAACAAGAGATGGAGCAGAGAGATGCAAAGAGATAAGAATTTCAATACATTTCACCAATAAAGTCAAACCTTGATCTGGTCTCTTGAGTAGTACTAGCAGGTATGAGAAATGGAAATTTCACAACTGTGGCCACTGTCTGCTTCTGACCAGTCAGTCAAAGTACAAAGGGAACTGCATACCAGTGCAGCTCCATGGACAGAGGTTTTCTGTCATTCAAGACAGGAAATGTAGTCTTTTCTGGTTTATATGATGTTATAATGCCTGCTTTGAATTTAGTTTACTATGAGTATTCAGTGAAGACCAAGTTACAGCAAAGGTTAGCAGTTTCCACTCATTTAGCCTTTGCAATTACATGAGCACTTGGTGATTTTTCCCTCGAATCTAGGAGTGATGCTGGGATCATAGAAGTCTAGAAAGGTAAAGTAATATATTGCCTTATCTCAAGCAATTTGCATTCCATCCATGTGTAGGCACATTAACATCACTCTGGTGTTGATTTACAACAAGAAATAGATGGTATTTCATGGCCCTGTTCACCCAGTTCTGTGAGTTGTTAACTTTGTAATATGAGGAAGTTTCTCTTAATGACAGATTGTAATCACCTTTGCTATTTAAATCGTTCTCTTTCATCGGCAGTCCTTGCCATCCTTATGTAATCATTTCTACTTGTGTAGCAGAAGATGCAAGTGAGTTGCATTCAGAGTTGACATTCCCAGATTTGATCATTTCAGTCTCATTTCTTGCAAAGCACCTGCCCTCTATGAGCCACAGCTTTTTAGAACCTGTAAAATGGGTATACTTCAGAAACTTACCATGAGGCTCAAATGAGGAGCTGTCCATGAAGGGGCCTTGTAAGACCAGCCGTCACTGTTGACTACACTCAGGGAAGTACCCATTAAGTATAAAGCATTTTGTGTTTCAGGTGAAAATCTGGTTTCAGAATCGCAGAGCCAAGGAGAGAAAGATGATCAAAAAGAAAATCTCCCAGTTTGAGAACAGTGGAAGTTCCGTGCAAAGTGACTCTGGCTCCATCAGCCCTGGGGAACTGCCTAACACTTTTTTCACCACTCCATCTGCTGTCCGTGGATTTCAGCCAATTGAGATACAGCAGGTCATAGTCTCCGAATGAAACAAGAGCTGAGAAACGGAAGTAGCCTTCCCTTTGCAGTGTCTCTTTGGCCTCTAAAATATCAACAGGGCAGTAGAGATTGACTGTAATTCCTTATAAGGCAGATTCCAAACAAGTGGACACATAATGAGTTGGAGATATTTCAGAAGACTCTAACATTCAGAAACTGTCCCCAGATAATTCCTAGTCTATGCTGTTATATGGGGGTAGGGGGCTGGACGGGAAGCTCAGTGAAGTCTAGACTCACGAGCCCTTGCAACTTTCTCCACAATTTCAGAAACTTGCTTGTGAAGAGATTTTTAAAACATAGTCCTGCCCAGACAGTCTTGCCCAGGGGCACATGTGTACATATGCTCTTGTGTTTGTTATTTGGTTCTGGGTATCTTTGTGGTCTTTTTTAGGGGATAGAAGTAAAGTAAGCAGAAATTTCTCTAACTCTAGATACCTTTTCAAGCAGTAATTAAAAACACCTCATTTTCTTAACAAGCTAAGTTTGTAAAACGACATCAGGAGGTTATTTACAAATCTATCGCCACTGGCTAATAAAACAAAGATTATTTTTCCCCTCGAATAGTACTGACTGCCATCAAATACCTAATCATAGAACATGGAAGATGTATTCATTTCTAATCTAGTCAGAACAAGGAAATCAGACTAAAATAATAGAGGCCATGTTAACTGAGTCGATAGCAAGGCAGATAGACAATCAACACACAGAATAAACCGTCCTGCCCTCTCAAAGAGCTGCAGTTCACCACTTAGAAGCACGCAATGAGGGTAAAGGAGCTGCTAAAGTGAGTAGGGTGGCCTGGAGCTCTTGTGTTGGCATAGTACACTGTTCACATATCAAAGTGGCCAAAGACTAGAGCTCCAGTTTTAAGACAAGGTCTCACAATGACCTGTTTGGGGTTTGAAAATAAGAACTGTGTCTTCCAAGTCCTTAAGAAAATCTCAGAAAGGGGCTTACAGTTCCATGGCTCCTACTGAGCATATATCAAATAGTGCTGAAAGATTTAAGGAAAAATCCTTCCACTTCTGACCTGACCTCTTGGAAGTATATTCCTTACAACACATTTATGAGGAAGGTATCCATTGCCCCATTTTACTGATAAGAAAATTGAGGTGTGAGCATCAGATCACTTTCCAAAGACATAAAATAACACAATTACAGATGCTGATGAGGATTTCTGCCTATAAAGGGGGATCTTCTTCAGTTTGGAATGATAAGTCCAAACTCACTCCTAACACATAAAAGATGCACCTTTGGCTGTAACAGTCACATTTACCTGTAAGTTGGCCCTTTCTTGGTATAAAGCTATTGATGTTTTTCTATCTCACTAAACTCTGAAAAATGGATTTTTCTTAACAGCATATTAAAGGCATTTTCTCTCAAAAGACATGTTTATTCTTTCTCTGAGTGCTGAGAAAAAGATACACCCCCTACTTTTATGGCCACATTATAGTGGTAGACAGAAGAAAGATAACACCAAAGCTCAAAGGTTGTACTCCAAGTAGGCTTCAATAAGGAAGAACATGGAGAGGGGCAAGGCAGGAATAAAATCTCAATGAATGGCCAACAGTGGTCAGTGGGCTAAATGGGGAATTAAGGAGGGATATTCTTTTCATATTTTTCAAATTTATGCATACTATTTTCACTCTGATTTTTTTATCCGCAAGTAATTTGCAGACTTTAGAAGAGTCTTTGCCAATTTATTCAGTATTCCAGTCTTCAAATACTTTAACACCATTGATCTTATCTTAGAGTTTGTATGCAACTACAAAGAAAGATCATTGGGAGGACCTGGCCTATTTCCAGATAAAGAAGGAAGTAAGGCCCAAGGAAAGTTTTCCACTGTTGGCTCAAATCCAGAGAACTGGTCACTGCTCTGGTTGAAACGTTTTAATATTACCAAGCCAAGTCAAGAAGGAAAGGGGAGCCAGTAAAGTAGAGGTGGTGTGGAAAACACTTAAGAGACAGTTATCAGTCTGCAGAGATGCTGCAAAGGGGCTGGAAATTTATAGAGTGCTTGTTTAGCACAGAGTCCTAGCGCCAGTCTCTAGCACTGCATGCATGAGTGTGGAAGCTCGTGCCTGTTATCCCAGAACTCAGGGTATAAAGGCTAGAGTATTCTTGGCTCTATAATAAGTTTGAAAACAGCCTGGGATACGTGGGACTTTGCCCCTCCCCTCCCCCAAAATACTGCAAAAATAATTGTAGCAGTTTTATTTTAATTCTGATAACAAAAAAAGGTAAGGAATCATTAAAGAGTTTAGTCTTTAGAGGTAGCCGCATTATATAATTAAATTCAGTCCCTCGACAGGGATTACTGGCTCTCATATTGGTACTTAAATATGCTACTGAGGAGAGACACAAGTAATTGACAGTCACTGAGTCTCCTATATAATGGCAATTAATAGGTTGGAAAGGTAGGGGCTGACCTATGTATATGATCATTAAATCTTCAGATCGGAAAAGTAATCCTGTACTGTGTATCTTCATGGACAATAATGTAAACTGATAGTAAAAGTACATAGCTAGTACAATGGTGTTTAAAAGTCCTAATAAACTGAGAAATAAGAGCTGGGTCTCTAGTTTTGCCTGATTCTGTAGCTGAAGAGCTGTGTGATTTATTTATTTGTTTGTTTATTTTTTACATTCCAATCCCAGTTCCCCCTCCCTCCTCTCCTTCTGCTCCCCTCACCTACCTCCACCCCATCTCCCATCTGATCCTCAGAGGGGAGCTTCCCCTAGGAAGTCAACTAAATCTGTCCCATCACCTCACTGAGGCAGGACCAAGCCCCTCCCATGCCTACCCCCAACTTGTCTAGACTGAGAAAGGTATTTCTCCATATAGAATGGGCTCCCCAAAATCTGTGCATTAGAGTTAGATCTTGGTCCTACTGCCAGTAGTCTCATATACTGCCCCAGACGTATCACCCATCACCTGTATTCAGGAGTTCAATCCTATGTAGGTTTTCCAGTTGTCAGTCCAGAATCAATGATCTCTCACTATTTCAGGTTGGACTGTGTGGTTTTGGGTTGTCACTACACCAATAAGAGTCTATTATGTTATTAGGGTTTTTTAAAGTGTTTTGAACTGACTTTAAAGGTTTGTTTTAGTTTTAACCCTCTTAATATGTTTAGGAAGGTCCCCATTTGCTTTTACCTTTCTTCAAAAATTACACAAAATCTCAATCTTTCTCTCTCTGATCTTTTTCCAAGACCTAAAATACCACTGTGGAGGATGTACTGCTTGGTCTGAAAGATTCCTAACATCTTCAAGAGTTTACCATGGGGTCTTAACCTTTTCAGAGTTGTCATTTCATCTTTATCTATAAAGCATGGATTTTGAGTTCAATTTCACCAATATCTGAAACTCTAGTCTGCACCCACCTACTTAAAACATAAATGCCAACCAGACGAATGCCTTTAATCCCAGCACTTGGGAGACAGAGGTAGACAGATATCTTTGAGTTCGAGGACAGACTGATCTACAAGCAAAACAAAACAAAAATACTATTTGAAGAGACAGACACTTAAACTGTCACTCATCTCTCTAATCCCTTTCAGACCAGAAAGGCCTTCTCTAAGTGAGTCATATGAAATGTCCCTGAGCAGAAGGGAACCTCATGAGATGAGAGAAGGATACTACAGAATAATAAGCTCAAATTACTTAGACTGAAGTTCTTGCTTTAATTGTGCATAAGCATGCACTTCAGATAACTCTGCCAAAGAAAATGTACTTCTCATCTTCCAATATAACCTTGTCTGACACTGTGCTGGCCTGGTAGAGGAGTTTAGAAAATAGTACAAGAGGGTTTGGTGATTTAGCTCAGTGGTAGAGTACTTTCCTAGCAAATGGGAGGTTCTGGGTTCATTATTCAACCCCAGAAAGGAGGGACAGAGGGAGGGAGGGAGGGGGGAGGGAGAGAGGGAGGAAAGAAGGGAGGGAGGGGGAGGGGTAGAGAGGGAGGAGGAGGGAGGGGAAGAACATCCATGGCATGTAACACCCTCTTCTGACTTCCACAGCCTAGTGCACACATTTAGCACACACACACACACACACACACACACACACACAGATAAAATAAATACTATAAAACAGTGCTTTAGAACAGTATTAAATGAATAACAACAGCTAGGGCTACTGCAAGGAACATAAGCAACTCTTGAAGAGGGATAAAAATCTGATTTCCAATATTCCAAGTGTTCAATTTTTCAATAAAAATAACTGATTGTAAAATTATCAATGAAGAAGTATGGCCCCTTCTTCACAGAAGAAATTGATAGCTACTGTGCCTGAAGGAAACACAGACATCAAGCAAAGACTTTAAGTTCATTATCATAAATTTGCTTACATGTTAGGGAAGTGTGCATAAATATCTAAAGGGAAGATGGGAAATTGACATGTGGACAAATAGAAAACAAAAATAAAGATTACAGATTTGGACTTCGGGTGTAGCTCAGATGGTAGATTGTTTAGCATGCAAAAAGCCCTGGTTTTGATCTCTAACACTGTATAAAACCGGCATAAAGGTGCATACCTATAATCTCCCCATTCACGCTGATAGAAGCAGAAAGATCAGGACTTTAAGTTCATCCTTAGATACACAGCAAGTTTGAGACTAGCCTAAGCTACATGTGACCCTTTCTCAAAAACAAACACCAATGCAGAGAAACCCTGTCTCGAAAAACCAAAAAAAAAAAAAAAAAAAAAACAAACACACAGTTACTGCAGGATTTTTTTCCTGCAGTTCTGGGTTCTAATCCAGGCTCTGTGGTCCTAGACAAATGCTCTACCACTAAGCTACACCCCAGCAAGCCCCGCCCCCTTTTCAGTTTTATACAAGATTTCATTGTGTAGCCCACGTTGGCCTTAAACTTGCAATCTTTCAGGCCTGGCCTCCCAAACAGTTGGTATTGCAATACTGCATGCGTGTGCTTCCATACCCAGGTACTAGAAGGTTTTAATACCAGATATACAGTGACAGAAAAAGGA